GTACAAACAAAATGTTCTCTGACAATTTTAATGGGAAAGAAGGGGTGTGATTTGCAGAGCATAAAATGATCAAGTGCAAAGGAAAGATTTGAGGTATGGGTGATTATGTTTGTGAGAGACAAGGTATAGGAGCTATAGTTTGAGGAGCAGTTAAGGAAGATAGAGGCATTCTTTCCTTCTTTAGCTACCTCCCTTCTATTGGTTACATACTGGAAGAGAAGCAGAAGCCCAACCTGACTTAAACAGCCAGCAGGAGGTAACACTCAGACAAGAGAAAACCTGTGAAGTGATGTTCACTTCAACATCATTTATAATGGTGAAACCCGGAAACAACGATCCATTAATAGGCGGACAGATAAAATACCTAATAGTATCCATCCATAATGGCCTAATATAGAGAAAGTAGAAGGATATATTAATATTTCTGAGTGTATGTCAAAACAGAGATATTAAAAACAAAACAAACAAGTTCCATAAACTATATGTACAGAATAATAATTTAATATGTACCTTGTGCTACATTTGGAAAATTTGAAACCACACTTTCAAAAATAAATTTAATACTGCATGGTGTGTGTGTGTGTGTGTGTGTGTGTGTGTACTGGAAAAAACACACAAATTGTGACATTGTTTAGGAGGAGAAGGACTTAGAGGCAGTGATTTTTATTTCTTTTGTAAACAAAAGATTTGAAGTAAATATAATAAAAGTACCTAGCTGTTGCCAGTTCTAAATGGTAGAAATAATGAAGTTTGTTAGTACATCCATCCATCATTAGCAGTTGAAACAGACCAGCATAGCTTCATTTGTTTAACAAGGTTTATTTCTTGGCACCTATTTGTTGACTAGTTTAGCACTTAAACTTTTTAGGGATTTATTTTCAGAGGATTGGCTAACATAGAAATTTGTGTTACTAGGAGTACTAGTAACTTGCAGCTAAGTAGGAATTTATTTGTACATGTATCTGCCCCACAATGGTGCTCTCTCCCAGTCATACTCTCACAGGAATGAAGGGAAGAAGAGGATCACTAAAGAGGATAAACCATTCTATCAAGGAGGAGATGCTAATGCAAGACTCTAAAATGTGTTATTTGATATTTTCCGCAACTATTAGCAGCTATTCTTTGTCAAAACCCCACTTGTGCATTTGCCGAGGGAAATGGTTTCTATCTCAAGAACTGTAAACTACTTCATGTTTATTAAAGAAACATGTTTTGTAATCAGATGTTGCTGTCACCTTACAGTGACTTTTGCTTATTTCAAAGAAATGAAAATATTTATTCACATGATAAAAACAATTTGCACATATAAATTCACTATCTGAAGCCAATAAAAGTGCAGAATATGTAAGTGTATTGAAAAGGAAGAAAAAAATATATATTTTTTGTAAAATAAATTTGAACTAAAGAACCTTTATTATATTTTTCAATGATGACAACACAGTAAAGCCAGGGGGTGCTGCAATATGGTGAATCATTTTTATGCAAATTTTTGTTTGAACATGGCACTCAGTTGTCATGCCAACCTTCTTAAACTGTAACTGGAAGGTAATCAAATGGAAATGAGAGTATTTTAAAAGAGAAACTGGTAACTTCAAGGTAAATTTTGAGATAGGGCTTATGGTAGGACACAAAGAGACTTATTCCTTTCAGCTTGAGCCCGCATCCTGGTGGTTAATGGCAAGAACACCTACTATTTCAAACATTTAATTCAGATAATGTATTTAAACTTTATCAGAAAAAAATCTGAATATTTTTGTTGTAGTTTCAAAGAAAACAGTTAATATGCAAAGAAATGAGAAAAGAAAGGAAAAAAAATTATACTAGCCAATAAAAATAGTACTACTAGTTAAACCACCACTATATTTGGGCTAAAATTTCTGTCATAGTCTCAACCAATTCTTTAAAAACAATATTAGGTAGCTAATTAGATGTTTAAAAACAAAACCATTAGTTGCTTTGACTCATTTATCCTTTCCTTTCTGAATATCAAACAAAATTATTTAAAAATATTTAATGTTCTGCCGAAACCAGTTTGGCTCAGTGGATGAGTGTCGGCCTGAGGACTGAAAGGTCCCAGGTTCGATTCCGGTCGAGGGCATGTACATTGGTTGCGGGCACATCCCCGGTAGGGGGTGTGCAGGTGGCAGCTGATAGATGATTCTCTCTCATCGGTGTTTCTAGCTCTCTATCCCTCTCCCTTCCTCTCTGTAAAAATTCAATTATATATATATATATATATATTTATATATTTATATATTTATATATTTATATATATATATATATATAACATTAAATATTTAATGTTCTAAGACAATAACATTTTAGCATCTCTGCCATGATCACAAAACCACTCTTTAAAGTCCTTGAACATTCTACTTGGGACAAGGAAGAGGTTTATATCAGAATGGGACAACATTAGGAGAGGAATTTGCTTCTATAATTTCCACCTACTTTTAGGTTAAGCCCATTTCTAGTTTCATTTTGGGAAGATGGCTTCTGGCATGGGACAATGAAGGCCCGACATTAATGGTCTGTGCAGAACTTTCAGACCAAAGCAATATAAATGCATCTGCCAGGTGCTAGAAATTGAACAAAGAGACCCAGAGTGAGCTATTTGGGGAATAAGGATACAGTTATCCAGTAAGGCTAACCTCTGCCCAGTTAATGTGGCAGCATCTCTAGAAAACACAGCTGGCAAACTCAGGCCTGCAGGAGATGACATATACAAACAGTTGCCCAGATGTTATGCTCTGTTGTTTTTTTCTTTAATTATCAAAAGGCTAGTTAGTGTCTATCACAGACTGTGCTAAGTGTCTTAGCATCAAAATGGCCTCTCTACTCTGCATCCAATTTCTCTATTCTCATGCATTTTAGGAAACATTTTATCTATAGTGAAAAAATCCAGTAAGAGTCTTATGCAATTTTACCTAACTAAAAATTCAGGATAAGCACTTTGGTTTTGCCCCCAATATTTCAGATGATAATATAAATTAGGTTTCTCATCTATAAAATATGTGAACTGTTTTTAGATAACCTTGACTACAACCTCCTTGGGTTCTAAGATTTCCTCTCCTCATTGCATATTTTTCCTTATTAATTACAGATTCTCATGAAAGGGCTAGTTATTAAATCACTTAAAATGTATGTCTGTTTTTTGTTTTTTAGCAAAATATCATCTCATAAGGATGCACATAGCCTGTTGACTAGAAAAATCATAGAAGGAAAGAATTAGGTAAGGAGTGGTGGGATGGTGGGGAGATTATAGACAATCGTATTATGGCCTAGAAAGCAATGACCAATGTTTCCAAAATGGATAAAGACACAACATAAGGAAGGTCTTGATACACTGTACTGAGGGTAACAGGAAGTAAAGGATGTGTTTCTTATGTCTATAACCAAAAGGAATCACGGTGCTATTACTTGGTATTCTACCTTCCAAGATGACATTTGATATTTGAACTGGACTTGGCAACAACAAAACCATAATGAACAAACAAGCAAGCAAACAAAAAGATTAATTCCTTCTAGCTAGTCGTGAGAAGTGGACTTGCTACCACTTGCTTCCTTGGCAGGCAGAAAGACCCAAATTCATATATTCCTCTGATACTTCTCACTTCTGAGGGAGATTCTTGGATTTAATAACAAGGAACACCTTTTCTGGATTTCTATCATTGTTCCATGTGTTTTCTGTTGTTTGGGTTTACCTCAGTTGGGGGTATAAGCTCTTATTTTCCTTTATTTAGACTAAACTATTAACCAATCTTGACTCAAAGAAGATTTAACTCTCATGGAAAGACTAACTTCTGTTTGAGTGGAATTCCAGAAATAAAATTAAAGGGTTATAAAGGCATTTGATTTTACTAAACACCTTTCTATTAAACTGTACAAAAATTGTAAATTATTATATTTTGTCTGTGTTTGTGGAGTTGCTTCTTTTAGTATGTTTTCAATAGACAATGGGGCACTAAGAACCCTGGCTAATGAATAGCCTTTAAAAATAGCTACTACCTAACAATGTTACAGGAACAATTAGAGTGCAGAAAACTCTCTCACATGAGATGCCAACTGAAAACAAAGGTTGGCATGATGCTGGTTCTTTCATTCCTGTCCTATTAATTAAACATGCTCTATCCAAATTCATCCCTCTCACTTCACACTATTTGGATTGTTATTTGATTTGTTTGTTTTCATTTCCCCCCAACCCACTAAAAAAACCACAACGATGGATCTTATTCTCTGTGTAATTTTTCTTTCCCCTTCTTTCTTAATAGCTATCCAGAGTGCTAGCAAACATTTGTATGCATGGACTATGCATATGTCTTGCTTTCTCACTCAGAGAACAAGGAAATAATTCTTCAAAAAAGACTCTTTCTAGCCAAATTACATTGCCACATCAGTCAAAAACAACAAAACACAAAATCCATTTGTTCATTTGGTAGCTAGTTGCTAAAAAACACAGTCAAACATTTAATCTTTACAACACAACAGAAGATCCCGAGCATTGCCCATGGGCATGAACAGAGTTTGTGAGCTCTGGAAACCACATTTTCAATTCAAAACCAAAGAGCATAGCATTATTGGGAAATAGCCTTTTTTTTTTTTAACTTCCATGTACAATGGAATAAAAACAGTTACTTCTATTCTCATTATAAAAAGTCCAGTAGCTTTTCTAGACTCATGACCTTTTAGGTCATTCAACATATTTAAAACAGAAGCTCTATCACTTCTGCCTTTATATGGCAACATGGGACTCCTGAAAAACATAAAGGTTCTGAATGGTCCCCCCAAGTCCACCAAAGGAATCAAATTAACTTTGTTTTTCTTAAAGGCCAATTTCCACAAAGAGCTGAATCTGACAGAGCAGTAAACACCATCTGAATCATTTTCAACAGTCTCAGGTCTCACCTAACTTTATTAGACACGCAAAAGGTGCTGTTTTAAAGACCTAAGAGATGTTATTACATCATAGCATTTCATGAAGCCCTAAAGGATCTACTTACATTTTGCTGTCACTTTGTATCCCCCCAGAGGAGGGGCGTGGCCTTCTACGGCATCAAATCCAGCGGAAACTAGGACCATGTCTGGATCAAACTCCTTGGCCACAGGCATCACCACAGTCCTGCGCAATAAAAAGGCAGCCAGTTACACATGGGAATGGTGGATACCTTTAAAATGTTTGCAGTGAAAAAGACTTGGCACAATCTCAAGAACTTCCCAAGAATAAAGAAAACGGGAAAGGAAAATGCTATTTGCAATGGATAAAAAGTTTATCATTTTCTTAAAACCGAATCAGTTATTTTAGCATCCCAATTTGTCTTTTTTTCTTTCATCTTTGTTTCTTCAAATTAAAAAAAATTGCTTTGCAGGTACATTCTCAAGCCCATCATTTCACATACACATCTGTGGCTGTTTTATCCCACTGCCTGCCTATAAAATACCACTTCTTCCAGGGGAGTGACTAATGTTTCACGGAGGAAAGCTGAAGCATCAGTGAAAAGGGGCTTACTCCAGTTAATGAGAACTTGGTGTAAATTTGAACTATAAATTTTTTTGGGGGGAAATGTTGCTTTTTCAACTAAAAAAAAATTAAATACTTGTCATGGTAGGGGGTGACTCTTGCAACGTAAAACCATGAAATTCTTTTAATAGATTCCAGACCATAATATTAAGTAGTCCTAGGTCAGAGACACCAGGCATGTGGCAGTCTCATCCATGACAGCAGCCCTGCTGGCCCCACTTCTTCAGCCTTCACATTCACCTCTTCTGCCTTCTCAGGCCTCCCTAGTCCCTTTCTCCTCAGTGCTGGGTTTGAGAGAGAATGCCTGATGAATGCAACTAGGTTTTATAAAATCTAAACATTTTCTGGATGCAGACCATCCATAGAATTCAAATTTTCAAAAACAGTTTAATGAAGTGGGAAAACTAGAGAGCCCAGGAAATTTTAAAGCAGTAATGTATCTATTGTATTTGGGAGAAAGGACTAAACCAAATATTAAAATAATTATTCTTGAGTAGTGACATAATTTTTAAATTTTTTATACTTGCAAATTTCTAATAATATCAGATCGATAGTTTATATGTTTTGCATGTAAACAGAACGTGAAGTTACAAAATAAAAACTACTTATTTGAAACTTACCTAGATGGATAAAATGTTTTTCATAAGTCCACTACTATTATCTATACTAATAAAAGTCTAGGTGGTGTCTCGCCCTCATGTCATCACAAGATGGCTGGCAGAGGAGGGCAGTTGGGTGTGACAAGCCAGCAGGGGAGGGCAGTTGGAAGTGACCAGGCTGACAGAGGAGGGTAGTTGGGGGCCATCAGGCTGGCAGGCAAGGGCAGTTGGAGGTGGCTGGGCTAACAGGCAAGGGCAGTTGGTGGTGATTGGGCCACCAGGAAAGGGCAGTTGGGAGAAAGCAGGTCAGCAGAGGAAGGCAGTTGGGGGCGATTGGGCAGGCAGGGGAGCAGTCAGTCATCAATCTGGGTGGCAAGGGAGCAGTTAGGGGGTGATCAGGTAGGCAGGCAGAAGTGGTTAGGGACAATCAGGCAGGTAGGCAGGCGAGCAGTTAGGAGCCAGCAGTCCCGGAATGTTCAGCAGGCAGTCAGACATTCCCGGAGGGGCCCCAGATTGAAGAGGGTGCTGGCTGGGCTGAGAGATATCCCCCCAGTGCATAAACTTCGTGCACCAGACCTCTAGTAAAAATATAAAAGCTCAATCCTTCAAACTCTTAGATGTGCATGTAAGTGACTTCTGTGGAAGTCCTTCCAACAATTGGAAAGCATTTATGAAATGAAACCTTCCCTGGAAAAAAAGCAAGTATAGTGAAGGAAATGAGAGGCAGGACTGAATATAAGAAGTTAAAGAAATGCTAGTTGGCTAAGGAGCCCAGCAGTACATCCCAACATCTTCATCGCCTTTCCTCTGAGCCAGTAACCAGTGTTTATTCTAGGCAAATTAACCAGAGACTCTCACTTAAGAAACGGATGTGTCTGAACAAAGCCAAGACTTCTAATGTGGATATTGTTGCCCCAAATACAGTCTTCCTTATTGATCATTTAAGGAGATTCAGAGACTATGAGCCATCTTCAGGAATGCTCACTCCAAAGTTGGGTTTGGCTGTCCACATGCTCTATCCCACACCAGTTGACATGAGCTCCCAACTGACCCATTTACACAGCCACAGGGAAAAATGACACCAGTCACTACTTTCATAAATATTCACATCAAAGCAGAAATTTCCCAGCATATAAGGAGAGCCAGTAGTATGAAGAAAAAGGAAAGATTAAAATAAACATAAATATAAACAACTTTAGAAAAACAAAGATAATTCAGGCAACAGAAATAAAAATCTTAAAAAGATGCAGGAAAAAATTTTATTTTTAAAACACAGACATGCTGTTATGAAAAAGAACAAAGAACAAAGAAAGCACTTTGAGATAAAAACTACAACTGCATAAGCTAATAGAAGATCTGAAAAAATAAAATTGAAGTAATCCCTCTTAAAAGGAAACAAATGAATAAACTGTATAAGAGGGAAAATATGAGACATAGAGGAAGTCCTATATTTGATTAATAGGGTCTTTGAGAATGCTGAGAAAAGCGAATGATAGTAAATAATCTTTAGAAACTGAAAAATAATTCAAGTCTACAGATCTGATTAGTCCAACCAACGCAAAGCTCTGTATATAAAAACGTATACATACTTAGATATAATCTAATAAGACTTAAAATCCCCAGAGATTCTTACAAAGAAAAAAGTCACCCTCAAAAGAGACGAAGAATGAGATTGACATCCAAGTCCAATCATTAACACTGAATATCCCCACATTGTGAGGGAAAATTATTTTAAAACTTTAATTCTACTGCCAGCCATTATATACTAGCAATCAAATATGTTACTTACATAGAAAATACTTTAAAATATTTAAGGACTCAGAAACTTAATTCCAAATCACCCTCCCTGAATAATTTCCTTGAAAATGTACTTCTGCCACTAAGGAAGTAAATCAAAGAGACAGAGAGGCACAAGACCAACGTAGTGAACAGACCATAGGAGAGCGATAAAGAGGGTCCACTGATGATTTGTATATGTATATATCTATTTGCTAGTAAACAGATGATGGAAGCAATGATAAAGGCACATATGCCTTGCCATCATCACCTGCCCTCTGGAAATTCTGTCATGCTGTCAACCTTTCCCCTCTTCCCTACAAATCATCTTCCAGGTGAGATTCATACTAGAGGGTACAATGAAATTATTAAAACAAAGGGAAACAAAAATACTACATGACTACTACTAATAAAAGGAGACATCGATCATGTAACCAGACACTAAACACTGTAAGGAGAAAAGGATCCCATCCTGGATTTCCTTCCAATAAATGTGATTCTGACTTGGAACCTCCCTAGTTAGAATCAGGTCTCTAGATTTCTTTCATCTATTATAGTTAACGGACAAAGAATTGACTGCACTGAGTCATGTGTTGTGCTTCAGCACCATGACTCCCTTTGGTGTGTGCTGAGTGCACAGTGTAGGATGTTACTTGCTCATTGGGTATGCTCAGTGCAGGGGAGGACTGCTCTGGCTAGAAGGCATTTTAAAGCACATGAAAGCATTATTACCCAGTGAGTAACTCAACAACATCCTAGTTTTCATTCAGAACTCATTCACGAGCTCCTGTTAAGTGAGAGGCATTGGGATGATGCCAGCATTCAAAGATATGAATAAGTGGTAGCTCTGCCCTCAAAAAGTCCATAACTGAGAAGAATGTGCCAATGGAAAGCCAGTTTGTTAGACTTTGGACTTCATTCTGAATAAGAAGGGAAACAGGGTGGTTTGACAATCCAGTGATGGGATCAGATATAGATCATTTCTGTCCTCATCAATTAAGCAATGCATTTGTAAGTATCCTTTAGAATTCCCAGGTCTTTTTGACTTCTGAGACAACAGATTCTGAATTCCGGCATAAGGTATAATGGCATATTATAATCATGCAAATATGAATTATAGGTGAAAAGCCAAGCCTATATTTTTCTTCATAGCTTAATTGCATACCATTGCTGAAAAGTATATTGTAAAATTGCACATTTTAAATGGGATAGGACTTCTGTTCTTTTTAGATTTTTCTAAAAAAGGCACATTGCAGCAGGCACACTTTCTCATCCATGTGTACAGGCTGTGCATGCAGTGCAGAAGGATGCTCCCAAGGGAAACTCTGATGGTTCCCACTTGGCCAAGTGGTGGAGGCAACACCTCAAAGTGCTGCCACTAAGCAGACTCCAGGGAGTGGCTGTGTGGCTGTGGCTGCTGGCAATTCATGTTGCCTCCAGGACTGCACTCACCACTAGACCAGTCCCCTTCTGGGGAAGCACTGAAGGAAGGCATACAGAAGTGGGTCAGCACTGAGAAACACATTGATTGGTTGCCTCCTGCATGAGCCCTGACTAGGGCCCAGGTCAGGGAAGAATCTCAATCAAAGTATGTGCCCTTGACTGGAATTGAACCTGGGGACCCTTTGGTCTGCTTGCTGGCTGAGACTCTATCCACAGAGCCAAACTAGCTAGGACTATCTATAATAATAAAAACAGAATAATATGCTAATTAGACTGAACAGCTAGAAGTCATTCCCGACATCCTTCTGGAAGAAGCCGCAGCAGCAGGGGCCCAGGCAGAAGTAGTTAGGGTGATCAGGCAGGCAAGCAAGCAATTAGGGGTGATAAGGCAGGCATGCAGAGTGGTTACGGGCAATAAGGCATGAAGGCAGAGTGGTTAGGGGCGATAAGGCAGGCAGATGAGCAGTTAGGGGCAATGAGGCAGACAGGCAGAAGCAGTTAGGGATGATCAGGCAGGCAGGTGAGCAGTTAGGGGTATCAGGTAGACAGGCAAGCAGGTAGGGGCTATGAGGCAGGCAAGCAGACAGGCAGATGAATGGTTAGGAACCAGAGGTCCCAGATTGTGAGAGGGATGTCTGCCTGCTCAATCCCCACCCCACCCCCATGCACAAATTTTGTGCAGCAGGCCTTTAGGTTCATTATATAATGTTTTGTCTACTTTCCTCCCCTGTGTCTACATGCTTCTTCTTTATCTCTATAATTCTGCTCAATATGAATTTCCTC